GGGGGGAGAATGTGAATTTCTACAGTGCTTTTTATGTCAGAGATTTTAGTTGATATTCTACTAGTTGCGTGCAACGTTTAACATAAAAGTGTGTCTGTGTTTTTTTTTCTTCTTTTTTTGAGTTATGTGATGATTTTAAATTGACCTAATCTAATACTTAGTGTAAGTAAGTGCAAGACTGACTTATTCCTTCTGTGTGCAGGGCCGAGTGTCAGACAGACAGCCGCTGATGGTGCTGTTTAGCCAAGAAGCTATGACAGTGTTGCTTCAAGCTGCCAGGTTAGTGAGCCGTGGAGCTGTGTTCTGACGAGGAGGTTGTTTTGTTGGAAGGGCAATTATTTCAGGTGGTCAAATTATGAACTTAAATGTTTTGGTTGCAACATCTTCTGAATCCGTTTCAAAATGTTTACCATATGGGAAATCTGTGAGATATCTTATCTTTTTGCAGGTGTACTTTTGTTCATGGCTGTTGTCCTTAGAATACACTGAATATTTTACTCTTACCTGTTTCGTAAATGATATCAGCAGAGTCATTTTTGGCCTGCTAGAAAAGTTCTCATGGTGTCCCACATGAAATTGACTTATAGCTCGTTCGTTTATAAATGGTATAAGAAAGGTTATAATTTGTCCAGAAAAGTACCTCAATGTCCTGAACAAAGCTGCTCAGGTGCTGGCTTTATCTATTGGAATGTAACTTGAGATTTGGAGAGGTTGAGGGGTTTTGCTCTTTGTTCTGTGCTATTGGCCACTTTCAAGTGATTCTTTTTTTTTTGCTTCTCAAAATGCACAATAGTCCATTATGTAGACTACACAAAACATTCATGTATTATAAGTTGATTTAAGAACTGTAAGGTGAACAAAAAAAGTTGCGACTGTTCACTGATTTAAAATGTCTTGGTTTTCATTATGAAGCCTTTCTGTTGTTTATATTTTTGTTTGTTTTTGTGTTGCAAGCCTTCTATTTTCTTTGTCTGCTACATTCATTTTGGAATTTAATTATAAATAAGATATGCTTTATATTTTCCTATTCTTCAAATCTGCTACCATGATACTTCTCAGGGAACTTCTTTAATTGTCTTTGCCCTTGCATGTAGCGATCATGTTCAACTCTCTCTCTCTTTCTCTCTCTCTCTCTCTCTCTCTCTCT